AAATATCAAACCCGAAGGTGCCACGATAATGAGCTTGGAGCGAACACCGTGGCAGCACGACAAGGACACTCAGAAGAGCAATGTCAAAACAAATTCATATCACTAATCACTTTCCTTAGTTTAAATAATAACCCATAGGATTTCAATGTGGTTTGTCTAGGCAGTATAAACCATCACATATCACCTTTAGGCTTTTGCACAACTTTGTTTTGCAATTATAAGTCCTAACACTTTTAGGATTCCAAGATTACCGTACGGTACAGTGTAAATCCTCCTATCTTCTTAGGCCATTTGCACGATCATATATCGTGCAAATGTAAGTCCTAAATTCTAAATTAAATTGCAGGATTAAACATTGAATAACATCATTTCAAAGACATAAAACTAAACAATAGGATAGTCGGGAGGTCACCAGGGTTCTCCCTGCATCTGTGATATCCCCTACTCTTCGCTCATTTGGATTTCCTAAAATAACTGTTCCTATTTGAGCCACTCCCGTTTGATTTTCCCGTGCCCAATCTTGGAAGCCTAAACTTTGAAATCTGGAAAGCAAAATTACTTATCTTAATCAAGAGTTTTCTTAAATGACCTTGGTCATTTAAGATGTAATTAACTATAGGGACTTGCCTTTATAGGGAACTTGGAACCCAGGTAAAATAAACTTTATCTAATCTTTATATTAGGTAAGAGAACTTGCCGACCATATATAAAAGTTTTTGCAGACTAGACGGATGTCACAAATTTCTTAGTTTAGGTAGTTGAGTCTACTGTTAAGTGGTATGTTTATCCTTCGGGATAGTGTATTACTTGTGGTATTGCATTCAACCGTCGAAACTTTTTAATATGTGAGACCCTTTTGGTCTCATATATTTTTTTTAAAATTAAAATGTTACTTTCGAAAATCATATTTATATTAAATTTTTTTTCATATTCTACAAAACCCCATTATCATTCCTTTTTCAAAAAAATAATAACGGCGGACACATGCCTTCGAGCATTACTTAGGGTTCTTACTTTTTAGAAAAATAATGAGTGTTTGTATTAAGCCAAGGGGTAAATATTGTTAGTGTGTTTGACAAGTTAATAAGTCTCAAATTAATAAGTGATAGGTTTTTTGTTGATAATCAAAAGAAGATACAACTTGGCAACATAATTGAATTTATGATCTTGACGACAATGTCATTGCATGACTTGTTTTTTAACAGATATAGACTCAACGAACTTTGAGACTTTAGGAAAAGATAGAGATGAGACCACTTGTGTGTTTAGAGAAAGTCTTTCCTTGAGGAGGTATAAGATATATTTCAACACTGTCAATCACCTTCACTGAATCTATCTCCTGAAATTCAAAAGAGTTTGTAAAAAACTTAATTATACATTTCATATTATAAGTAAGCTTATTGATCGAAACTAAGTTATAGTTCAATTGTGAAATATATAAAATAAAGCAAATAATAATATCTTGAGAAAGCACTTCTCCTTTTCTAGCAATTTTTTAGTGAGATACATCTGCAAGTTTGATAGATCTAGATGCAGAAGTCTCTTGAGAGTTAATTAGAGCATTGATGTCTCTAGTCATATGATTAGACACCCTTGAATTATGATTCAAGGCCTAGATCTCCCATTGTTGGCAAGATGAGAGAAGAATATATTACTTTGGCATGTCATGATGCTGGTGTGTTGTTCTGAATTACCCCAAGGAGTTTTTTCAGTTCTTCAAGTTGTTCCTTGGTGAATGGGTTAGCTGACACTTCAGATGTGGTAGTGGCATTAGTCGTGTTCTCATGATCTTTCTTTGTCCAAGTTTCCAATATGTCGGTTTCCCATGTAGTTTCCAATATTTGTCTTTGAGGTGCCCAATTTTCTTGAATAATAACATGTGGGACGATCCCTCTTCCAGTTTGAGTCATGGGAAGAGTTATTCAAGTACAGAGCTAAGCTTTTAGCTCCTGATGAACTCTCATTTTCAGTCATCATAAGCTTCTTTCTGCTCTCTTCTGTTCTAACTTCAGCGAAAGTTTCACGGGCAGATGAAAGAAGCTTTAATCCTTATGATCTTCCCTCTCACTTCATCCAATCTCTTGGTTTGTCCCTCCATGAGTTTGATAGTTCTTCTTGATGATGGATTTATACGTCACATCATTATATGGATGTTTCCACAAATATCTAGAACATATCCAAAAGCCAATACTTTGCAGGGTTTTGAAATATTAGGTGACACTTAGCTCTCCTTGAAGAAGATCACGTAGTTTGATTTTAATCTCAAGCAACTCTGCAATATTATTAGTCTTGGAATAAGTTTCTATTGCAGCTTCCCAGATTTCCTTGATTGTTTCATAGAGCAGGAAATTTTTCCTTCTTCGGTAGTCATTGAGTTAACTTGCCGAAGCATAACCAATTGGTCTTGAATCTTTCATATGCAATGGTTAGGATAAGTGAGCTTAAGAACTGTCCCTCTTTTCATTTTCCACAAATATACATAATTACGGATTGAGACTATTGAAGGAAATTATGACCATTGAGTTTATGGTTTGTGATAAGGTACCATTCTTGGCAGTTTGGACCAAATTCTGTTCTCTTATTCAAAACTAACCTTTAGACTAAAACTACACATCTTCATTCCAGAGTTCATCATCAACCCTATGCACGTTTAGAGCTGGAAAGAATTCTTGGCTACTGGGCTGCTCATTGTAGGATTCTGGTTGCTGCTTGCTGGAGCGACAAATGGTTGGACGACTTGGAAGGACCACACTATGAGGAATGTTTCAAAGGTCCGGAGGATTCTTGCGGCTCATTTGTTTGCTTGAGAAGGACCTTCCTGCGACTGATGGCTGGTTGGTTCCTATGGTTGGGAGGTGGTTGTTTAGTGCGGTTGCTCTGAGAGAAGACAACAGAGAGAGCACTCTTGCAGGGGAAGTATGGAGGAAGCCATCTGCAAGGCCAAGGATTTGGTGGAGGGCCAGTAGGGAGCCAATAGTAGGGAGACACCTGCAAGGAGCCGGTTGTAAGGAGAGGATCAGGTGGAGGGCCAATTGGGATTGGCGGCTGAGGGAGAGGCTCCGGGTGAGGAAGAAGAACCAGGTTTTTTTATAAAGAAAAACTTGGGAAGGAATTCTGAGATTCTTGTCATTCAATCTTCAACCCTAAGGTTACATACATATAGATAAACCGATTTCGACTAATTTACAATATTATCAAATATATTAGCCTAAAAATGGAAAAGAAATAATTCTGAAAAAAACATAAATAAGAAGAGAGTAAAATTAATCAAGGATTTTATCAAATTATTTCCATTTAATAGAAAGACCGATCCTCCTATATTTCCTTTAAAGATTAACACGACCAAATATGTGCCTACCCATGCAAATGGCAACTACAACTATGAGAAATGCTTTGAAATGCATAAAAATGGGCAGTAATGTAAATTGATAAAATAATAGCTTTGTATAAGCAAAAGTTCATTAAGAATTTTTTTTTGGAATATCATCCAGGTGCTTATATCCAAACATTGAATCATCAATATATTGAACAAAACATTGCACAAAAACATGATGGATTTCTGCTACAATATTTTGGTGCATTTAGGATCTTCGTTCTAATACTAAAATTGTAAAGATATAAAACAATAAATTTTTTAGGAAACCACCTTCAAACAAAGCCAACATCTATACATTCAAGTTGGAAGAAGGCTTCGAGCCTATGAAAGGAGGTTCTCCAAACATGGTGTTTATATAAAGCTAGAAGAAACGTTTGATTGAGAGAGGAGGGTGAAGATTAGAGAGGACAACAGGGATTAGGCGAGAGTGGAGGACGTGTGCTTAGAGTGGAAAAGTGGAGATAGGTTTGATGACAAAGATGCTTAAATGATCATCCTTACATAATCAATCTTACATAACACATAGTAGCAGTAAAATTTAATATAAATGCTTGATATATTCTAAATGGCATAAACATTAACATAAATGTTAACAAAATGAAGAAAAAACATATAAAACAAAATAAAGAAATAACATCAACCATGAAAATGATTTGTAAAGCATGTTTGATGTCTATTTATATAGGTTTGTGTTGCATCACATAGCTCAATGGTTTGAGTTTAGTGGTCATGCCAAACCCTTTGATCAATGGAGACATTGTTATGATATATAGCTCTCTGATTGAAATGTATATTATCCCAGTTATGGCTCCTCCATTCTTTGGTTGGCATTTGCATAGTATACTCTATGCAAATGTGAGATCTTTGAAGGATTTATCATCCATTCCCAGACTCGGATCTTATACATTTAGCATAACATCTTGACATAAACAAGACACCACCATCATCATATTGTGATTGTTTTGAAACAAAGAGCCTCGTAATCTCTAGTCAAGAATGGCCTCACAATCAAAAGAGGTATTAACTAAATGGCTTTGCTTCCATCAAAATTTTTTATCACCGGACCTAAATAGCACCTATTGTCTTTAAATCATCATAACATGTGATTTTCAATTAGTTGACTCATTATTCTACTGATACAATCTTATAACTCATTTTATTTGCTAATTTTTCATTTTCCTATGCTCAATTAGGCTATCATTATTTTTTTTTCTTGTCTAATAGTTGAAGAATATACGCAACTTATTCAATGTAACTGTAATTTTATAACATCTGCCATATGGCTTCTACAAATTATCTGATTTCATTATACTCCCAAAACACAACTATATTATAATCACCTAGCTTGAACTCTACTAGATATTATCTCTCAGAAGTTAATCACATTGCCTTTTCATGATATTAAAAACCACACGAATCTTCTTTCATTTTTCTCCATGCTTTTTCATAAACTATATAAATTTTAATCGATTGGGTGACCAAACAATTGTTAAATAGCTTATATGCCATGTACGAATCATAATTGCAATGAAATTTGTTTAATAATGTACTTTATTACTGTTTTCTAGAATGAAACTTGTTAGCTAGTCAAACTTTTAATTCCCGTATCCTGGTTTGGCTCCAGGTTATAATTTCACTTTGAGCTGGATAAGGGGCAACGATGAACGCGAGCAGATGTTGTTTTACCGTGTTTCTTCACTGGGAACTTTAGAGAATATAGCTCATGAATGGATGAAAGATGATATGATTTTCAGCTTGGCCATGTGCCCTGTTTTCTTTGATAGATTATCTAGAGTTGTTGGCCATAAACGCTAGTGCGTTTTTTTTTTTTACTTTTTATTTTATTTTGTTTCATTTTTTGAGAGGTGAAGGATGCTAGAAATGCAGGACTTTCAAAACTCATTGGTGGGTGATTGCTTAATCTCTTCTGTATGCTCCAGCTGATTGTAAGTTTTGCTTTGTTTAATTTTTCCTTCTATTTATAGATGTTTGTTCTGCCTGTTCTTGTTTTGCATCAAAATATTTAGCTTTACTTGCTATATCTTGTTTTTTTAAGAGTAGCTATTTTGAAAACGAGTGATAAGGCCATGTTTTTTTAATAATTTCCAGGAATTATGGTTTTGTTTTTGTGAAAGAGAATTTGATTTCATATGTTTCTAGTAAACAGAATTCGAGAAATACTCTTGTTTTTTTTCTTGAATAAATATTTGAAAGTTCTTTCTTCCGAATCTACATTTGAACCTCAGTTTGAGTCTGTTTGAAATGAGGGAACATGCGTGTAGGTCTATTTGTTTGCTAGTTCTGATGCATACATGGCCAATTTGAATGGTTTCATCTTTGCTGCCTAACTTTGCCACATCGTCGACTTCATCAGTGAGAAATTAGAAGTGGCTCAGTTCAATGAGCGGGTGAGGTTGACGAGAAGTTCGACCCCAGAGCACCTCTTCTTCTCTGGCTTTTGTTAGTGCCATTGATTTCTACCCTATAGAGCTTTGTACAAACTCTGCTTCTCCTTTGATTGTAGATGATACTGTAAATCCTACCATAAACTAGCTCCCATCATAAACCATACATGCTAATAGATTCCTCTCCTCTAGTCAGAGAAGTACCTATCAGAGTTTGCATGTGACATGGCTCTTGTATTTTACAAGTAGTGGATTGGTCTCATATTTGTAGCATATTTTATATCTTTTCCTTAGCATTCGAACCACAATCCCCACATACAAACTATTAGTTTACAACACATGCTTATGAAGGGGCTGAATTAGGTGATGAACAAAAGTAAATTTTTGACAAAATGTTTGCCTTATTAATTTTGAAAAATGTTTTGAGGATAACTTATGAGATTAAAGAGAGAGATTATTAAACTCAACTCAATTGGTCAGAGAAAAATTGTGTAAATCTCAAGTGAATAGGTATTGTACTAAGATATTTCATAACATAAAGCAATATAATGATGCATAAGAAAGCATACGACAAAATTTTTATGTGATTCAGTCTAGAGCTATGTTAACACCTAGGTGTTCACCACACCTAGATTCCTAAACAATATGAATTGAGAAAATTTTTTCTCCTTAAGATAGAGAAGCTTGACCATATCAGCTTTATCTCCAATTCACCTCTTGCACACTGCATACCCTTTTAGTCTTCCTTCATGGCAAGGGAAACCCTTATATTAGTCTCCACCAGAACAACAAATACAAACAAATGAGAACAAAATTTAAGAAGGAAATTCATTGGTTTGTACCAAGTAGTAAGATGAAAAAGCCAATAAATTTTAAGCATTATCTTATATTCTTATTGATTAAACATGACAAACCAACCTTATATCTCTAAAAAAAACTCTCATTTATTGATTAGAAGATTTGTGTGTGCATGTGTGAGCGTGTGCAAGTGCGTGTCTGTGCGCACTTTCTTGCGGGGATATTATGGGTTTTAGGAGTAACGGGTCATTATGAATACTTGGTCGTATGAATTTTGAGGGAATCCTGGTTAATTTAAATCATTTGTTTTCGACTATGCTGTCATAGTTTAGTTTTATATACACCCTATAATTCAATTATTTAACAACTTTTATTGAGTAAATAATAATTTTAATAAAAGCTCATGTAATAAAATGATTAAATTTATGCTTTCATACAAATTTTTAAAGAAATTACTATGTTAATGTATAATTTTATATCTTTTTTTTAAATCCAAAGGAAATTTTATTCATACCATAATAAAGGATACATAGAACGGCAGGGAATTTCCAACTACAACCAAAACACAACACACATAAATCAAGCATGTAGAAACCTCCACCAAAAGTACTCCACATACAAACAAAAAAAGATCTAACCATACAAGCTCAGGGAAAGGAACAAAGAAGAATGAGCACTTAGGAAGTAACAACATCAAAATGAAAGGGAGCTACACGAAAGATCTCCAACGCAACTGCAGATAAAATCCCGACGAATGAATGCCACCCGTAAACAAGATAGAACAGAGGAGCCTTACTAGCATTTAAGCAAAAGGTTAGAAAACAATTAAATTAAAGATGGAAGAAGAAACGAGAGCAGGAAGAACCAAGTTAAGTGGTTAAATACGTTTCAAATGAATCGTGGGTCATAATAAAATAATGACCTAGTAATGTCATCCAAAACCCATTAAATTGCCCAAAAAAAACCAATATCAATCCGATCCAAAAAATTCATCAAGTGATCACCCACAAGAAACACAAAGTACTGTGAGCAAGAACTGAAAGCCACTAGAAGGCAAAACTACAAACCAATAATAACATGAGGCATCATAACATTTAGGAATAGATTAAGCTAGGTGACATAGAATCATTTGAATGACTTCGCAACAAAGATATCAACCCATTTTGGCTAAAAATAGTCATACAAACAGTTACAACCATCCCCAAATTCACTAACATTTCTTTAAAGAACAAAAAATGCATCAAGAATAAAGATACTCCATGAGGATCAACAGAATCATAGCTTCAAATAGAGATCAATCAATTTGATGAAGAAAGCATTAAAGAAAATAAATACAGACAAGTAAACTGATTAATATTTTAAAATGAATAATATAAGGAATGACCATAACAAAGCGTTGGAAAAAAAGATATTCTTTGAAAATCCAGACAAAATGCCTATGGTCATTCAAGTCAAGCATCAAAACATAAATCAGCGAAGTGATTGGGTGATGCAAAGAGAAAACAAAACCACAAAAGACATTCAACGAAGGAACATGAGAGGGGTAAGAAAAATAAATCATATAAATAAAACAAAAACCATTAATAATTCTGTTTAGCTCAGTTCATAAAGCACCACTAGTCACCAACCTCTGATAAAGGAAGATAAGACTGCATGTCAAAAGTTATGAATAACACAGATATGTAAAAAAAGTGCCCTGACAAGGGCAAGGCAACCCACTCAAATAACTCATGAAGTAATGAAGACTACTCAGTACTTTATCAAGTGTCAGAAAGACATTAAGTAGACCAATCAAAACAGTAATGACAGAGGACCATAAGGGTCCAATTAAGTTAAAACCACTATTGTGCAACAAAAAAATACAATGAGGATAGGGACCTGATTAAACTTGAAAATAGGCAAAAGGCTACATACCAACAACTACATTATCCATAACATCTCTGACATGAATAAGATTATATTAATTTAATAGTCTTTTAACCAAGTTGCTAAAATTAATAGAAATATTAAAATCCAAGATGAGGATCAAAGACAATTTGTAATTGATAAACTTTCCTAAGATATGCCATAGAGTAGAGCACATCCATAAAGCACATGATTATACCAACCAACTTGATGGCAAATAAGTGCTCATATACATTTGAATATGCAAAAATCTTCTGAGCAAACCAACATTGATCATACAATAAAATATTAATTTAGGGGTTGTCATATAAAAGCACATAAGAGCCTTGCTCTTGTTGACAACTAAATTAGTTAAGCTATAATTTGAATAGAAATAAGACTAATTAATAAAGATCAGACAATCAAGAACCAGATAGTCCGTCAGGAATTGAATGTCCCAATAGCAATATGAGACCAAGTAATACCACATAGGGGCATTAGCAACACATTGTCATTATTTGTTACCATGAGCTTGATAATAAAAATTATTAATTGTAGGAATTCTTTTCATAAAATATATCTTAAACTTTAAATTATGTGAACTAGAAGAAACCAACCACCTGATAACAAATGCAATAAAATCCAAGATATAAACCATTAATAAACACATGTCCTTAAAATATTGAGTAGGGATGCCAAAGCATGAGTAATGGGTTCTTAAGATGGCAAACCCAAGTTCTATAATTAATGATATCTCTGGACAAATAAAACCAAACAAACCATAAATAGAGGTCGAACGACCAAGCCCACACCATGAAGATAGATTCAACAGGCCAACACAATAAAAAAAAACAAATGCATCCTCAGACAAGGCAAAACCAACTGTTTCCCATTTGATAAGACCTTGAGAACTCTATGAGGTTCATTAGAAGAATATATGTTGGAGGAAAAACCATGTTGGCTCCAGATTTAGACAACCAATTTGCACATACATTCCCTTCATGGCTTCATTGTAGATATGAGGTATTTATAATTTATCTTGTTAAACATGCTATGAATATCATGAATCAAATAGAATAAAATTGAAACCATTGCTTTTATCATCTTCATAACATAAGTCTAATCGAAAGTTGGGCATGTTTGATACATTTATTATTGAGTTCAAAATAAATAGCAAGTTCAAGGCTAAATTTAAAAACCAAGAGTTCAAAGTGGATGAAAAAAATACCTTCCAAAGGTCCAACAAATACAACAATAACATTTCCCAGATGTTCCTCAAAATTTGACAAAAACCAGCATTTTGGTTACTAAAAGAACCATTAGCATTGGACTTAATCCAGCCATATGAAGGTTTACTCCACGTTATAATGGTAGTAAAGGATTCGAAGCTGGTGTCACAACGAATACTAAGTAGAGGAGCAACTTTATTACATCCTTAAAAATTTCACATTTATAGAATTAAAATTATAAAGAAGTTAAATTCTAGTAATGATGTTTGTTATAATCACAAGATCATTCATTTTGATATTCCAATGTTTAGAAAATTTTGTAGCTTTCCATATAAACCATAAAAGATTAGAAATTATAGTGCTCACAATTTGATTATTAGATGATGAAGGAAAAGCTTCTAAACATTTCATAATTAATTCCTTTTTGGTTAAGTAGGGATTAAAATTATTTGTCTGAGAGATTTCATCCAGCTAACACCAAAGTTTAGTTGTAAATGCACCATTAACAGAAAGATGGTTAATGGATTCATTTTGAGAACAACATTGGCATTTAGAAATAAGGGCAATTCTTTTTCTATTAAGATTACAATACACATGAAGGAACCC